TTGTCTATAGTAGTGAGAAAGGGCTAAGTTGTGTTGCTTTTAGAGAACAACCTTAAAGTCTCCAAAGCTTAGAACAGTGACAATTTATCTCTCACTTAGGTTATAAGTGCATCATGGGTATGGAGGCTCTTATAGCCTTTTGCGTAAAAGGACACACACCATTTCCAATCACATTTTATTGGCCAAATCAAGTCACATAGATATGTCTGGTTCCAAAAGGGCATCTTTCATGAGAGCTCAAGACTGCTTGGTAATAGGCAGGACAGCATTGACAATCTCCTTTATCAATCTAAAGCACACATGTGCAAACACTCCCACAAATATACATGGGTAGATTCCCTCAATGTTGGTGATAGATTTTTAATATCTCAGACTTTTGGAAGGAACAAGAGTGATCTAAGTTAATTGTACAGATTATATGATTTTTAAATAGATTGTCTAATCCAATAATGCTTGCCTCCATAACAATTAGAATCAATTCAAAGATTGATTTTTAATTTATGATTTGTTATATCCTACCTTCCCTTAAATTAATTGAACTTTACTATAATTTGCTTGTGCTTTATTTCCAGATTTAGATTAATAATTATACATCATAACAATAATTTAATTATAAATGCAGATAATCCTTAAGAAGTTATAGTTCAATCAAAGCTTAGATATCTCAGAAAATTTCAGTAATCCTTGCTCTAGAAAAGGCATTGCCTTATGATACTGAACAATAGCACGAGCTACATATTCAATAAATACCAAGTCATTACTAAATAATTCAGCATGGCAAATCATTTCCATTTATGTCAAAAGTTGAAGTCATTATTTGACCTTTCCACATTTGAGTTTAATTGCATTTCTTATATGATATTAATTTAGGTGCCCACTAGACTGGGTTAAAGTTACTCAAATAGCTGGTAAGACATTGTTTCTGGGCAGTGTGAGATTGTTTCTTGAAGAGGTTAGCATTTGGAAGAGGAGACTGAGGAAGAAGACCACCCCCACCACTGTGGGTGGGCATCAGGCAATCCACCAAGTATCCAGGCAGAACAAGAAAGAAAGGCAACTGTGCTTGCTCCTCAGGACTTACGACTTTCATTGTCAGAACGCCAGGTTCTCAGGGGCTTTCAGACTCAGGGACCCACACCAGCAGCCCCTGGTTCTTACACTATCAGCTTTCAGTTGAGAGTTACACCATCAGCTCCCCTGGCTCTCAGGTCTTTGGTCTCAGACTGAATGACACTGCCAGCTTCCTGGTTCTCCAGCCTGCAGATGGCAAATGATGGGACCCTTTGGCCTCCCCAAACACATGAGCCAGTTCCCATTATAAGTCATCTTGTATACATTTATATATCCTACTAGTTCTCTGGAAAACTGTAATACCTATAGGAACTGTTAACTATGAAGAAAATGGAGCCATTCAATCCTCATCCTCCCAAACAAAACAGCTTCTTCCACCATGGTGGCCTCCATCAGGTCCTGTGGTTGCAGTGCCTGAGACATGAAGTCACTGACTGCACCTGGTTGAGAATGCGTTCAGGAACTAGCACACTTGTCGGTACCAAGTGCAGTAAGCTCAATTACATACCCCTGTATCTTCATTTCTATCTTTCTGTAATGAGAGGAAAGGAAACTGCTTTTGATGTACAGATTAGCTTTTGAACAATTTGTATAAACACATAACAATTCTGTCGACAATGTTGCAGTTGCTATAGTGCAGATGTGCGTCCTGCAGCCTGTGAACAAGCAATAGATCATCCTAGCCAGGAGCTCAGTCTGTATGCTTTCTAAAGGTATAAAAATAAAGAAAGTGATATATAACATCATGCTTCACTGTGCATGGCTTGTCCATTAACAACAAAACCCCAACTGCAGAGTCCTCTTTGTATTGCAAGTAGTAGTGTCAGTAATAATACCAACATTAGTTGAGAACTTATGGTAGTCCAGGCACTTTGCTAAATACTAGATTCCATTTTCTCACTTAAATTCACGTTTATCCAATAAAGTAAAAACTACTATCTCTATTTCACCAGAAGTAAACTGAGTCTAGAAAGAATAAATATTTTACCCAAAGTCCTAAGAGCAGGAAGAATTGAGTAAGTAATGCTATATTAAATACATTTAAGCAGATTTGTTTACTATGGACTTTTCTAGATCTTTAATGTGATGCTAATAGGTTTTAAATCTCTAAGAGAGGAGAGAGGGTCTTGAACTGTTTCCCTAACTTATTTAATCACAGAAGGCTATTTTTAATAATATTTTGTGACTCATCTCTTGGAACTCTTTAAAATAAAGAAAATAATAAATTAGTGCATGATTGGAAAGCTAACTTCATTTAAAAGTTAAGAAATGAAGACCAACAGTTGGACCACAGAAAGCTACACCTTATACCTGTCAGAGTACCCACTCCCTGTGATCTCAAAGACAGAGCTCTGTTATTCTAAGAGCTGCTCAGCTGTGAGCACCTCCAGGAATTGATGCCAGCCAGTATGGCCATTCACAAGATGAGTAAAATTTAGCTCCTTTTGCATAATCTCACTACCATATAAGGAAACCAAGTCTTAAGTCAATTTTCGTAAACAGAAAGTTACTTGACAATTACTTATTAACAGTTCATACAACATGTTGTGTAAGTTCAGAGGAGTGCCAGGTTTCTGTCCTCCTAGGGTCTCTCATTGCCACCTCTGCTAAACATTTCCTCAAAACAGACATGGTGCATACCAGAGGCAGGATTCTGGAAGCCTCATACCCCACATCAGAAAACTAGAGATCCTCCAATTAACAGGCTGGACACAGAAACGGTTAGGGATCAAGTATCAGATATTATCTCTCAGGGAAAGGCTGCAGGCTTTGCTGGTTTCTTCTGCCTTCCTCCTTAGAGACAGGAAGTGGCTCTAATATTTTAGCTAATGTACATTTCTGCATTGGTTTGCTATAACTACTATAACAAAATATAACAGACTTGGTAACATACAGAACAAAATTATGTTCTCACAGTTCTGAAGGCTAGGAGTCCAAGATGAAGATGTTGGCATGTTTGTTTTCTCTTCAGATCTTCATCCTTGGCTTGCTGGTGGCTTCCATTTCAGTGTCTATATACCACCCCACACTTCTCATACAGACTCCAGTTAGATCACATTAGGGCCCATCCTAATGGCCTTTATTCTAACTTAACCACCTCTTTAAAGGCCACACCAAATACAGTCATTCTGAGGTTCTGGGGCTAGGGTTTCAACATATAAATGTTGGGGTGCAGTTCAGCCCTTCTTAACAGTATCTTAAATACTAATTTCATCAAAATGGTATCCCATATCTAATGTTCATCTGTTAATTAATAAGCCACTAGTTTTCACAATGAAAACTTTTTTGCGATATTTAATAGGCTAATTAGCAAAATCTTACCCACATCTTTACATCAATAGCTTCACAATGAGTCAGGTGCAAGGACATCTGATTGACAGAGTTTCATAGCAAGGAAGGCTGGTGAAGGGACTTCCGTACTGGGAGGTGGAAACTCATATAGTCAGGCTCTTTTTTGCAGTATCTGTATTCCTTTACATATTTCAGAACAGACAATGTGATATTGTCTGTGTATTCCAGCTTTAACTCTAGGGGTAGACAATTACCTTAATAGTGAATATACATTTCAGGGTTATTTATGTAGCTACACTCAGGAAATTGCAGTAAATGCTCCAGCGACCCTTCTACTGAGCAGTGCCCTGACTGAGGCAGTCTTGGGTGGGGTTTGGCCATATTTCATTAGTTCAGTTGGTTCTCTGTTTCCCAAGATTCTGTGAGTAACTTCACAGATCATTCTTGTAATAAATCCCTTTTCTACTTAAACTGGCCAGAGTTCTCTTTTGTGCAGTCAAGCCAGCTGATACAGTGACCAATCTTTGGATCTTCAGAAAGCATATGCAAGATATACTACAGTATAATTGTCTCCTCTTTCATACAACCAGTGAATCACAGGTCGACCAGCTAACTTGCCTACATTTCACCATATATATATATATGTATGTACAGCAGAGAGAATTAGAGAACCACAGCATGTTAAAACTAGAAGGGACTGCAACATTCATCTAATGCAAATGAAGAACCAGAGTTCTTGAGGAAAAAAGATTGCTCATAATCATACCTGCTTTCCTTCTATGCCTAAAAGGATATTTTTAAGTAAGCCTTGCAATTCAATCCATAATAACAATCCTAAGCATCATTTTTTTTTTAGGTTTAATCTAAATTTATCTCTGTTGGCCTAGAAGATGAATACAATAATGCTCCTAGTTGCTGGGGATATAACACAGGAGAGAACAATTTTCTGTTTCTGTTTAGACAGCATAACCCAAGGTGGTTGAGAGAAGTATCAAAAAACAGCACAGCTGAGTCCTTGTTAGAGACCCACTGGAGCCAAGCTGCACTATCTCAGCAAGCTTCACCTTGCCAGGGATCCCCGGCCTCCAGGAGTGAGTCACTTCATGGCTAAGTCTTGCTCTGTTTGGTTTCTGTTTCAGGTAACAACGTAGGCAGACTTTTGGTCAGCATCCTCTAAGGTAGCTTAGGGATCCTCCCCAGGTGGGGAAAGAAGAAGGAACCAAGACCCCTGCCTGAACCTGGGCTGGCCAGCCTGGGGAGCACTGATGTTTCTCAGGGGAGCTCACCTAGGGTCATTCACTCCTCTATGTTTTCTATTCAGCCATAGTAGGGGTTCAAAGTTCATTGTCTTTTCTCCTTTTTGAATTTTGTATGTGTTTACAACCTAAACTATTCAAAGAAAATGCATGTTGTTCTTGGGTGTTGATAGAGCATGTTTTCTGAAATAAATGTATTTTCACAGATAACTAATCTTAAAACCTGTATAAACTTAACCTAAGAACTGTTTTGTAAGCCCTTTCTCTTTGGAATTTAAAGTGTTTTTATGAACAGTTTGATTAGGGGTATGGATAATTAAGCAGATCAAGAAAGAAAAGAATTTAACTGTTTCCTATACTCACTTATGCTTTGAGGCTTACCTGAGTGGACCATAAAGCTTGTCCTGGGTGTGTGTTCATGCATTCATCTGCTTCTTCATTCACAAAAGGTGACTGCACAACTGTTAGGTTCAAGGCACTGTTCTAAGAGAGGTATCTAGGGAAGAAGCCTGGAGAATTTAAGAGCAAGATGTGAACACACATAAACACTGAAGGTACTATTACTTTGGCTTCTGAAATCTTGGACTAATTACAGCTCAAGAAAAGTGATATCCATGTGGCTAGCAAATCTGCCAACAAAGGAGATGGCAGCAGAACAACCCACAGCAAATTTCATCACCCAGAAAACTTAATCCATTATGCTCATCCAAAGAGAAAGTTAATTACTATTGGCTTGGATTAGTTGCTTTTCCTAATTTTGCAGTATTAACATAGAATGCAAGAAGAGGCAAGAAGGAGTTCCATAATACACTTAGGACAATCAAAAATACAGATGTTCTCTCTGAGACCCTCGTGATTGGTCAGATTCTCTTAAGCAAATGCTGAAAGGGCTTAGTGCAAAACAATGGAAGTTGCAAATGTGAACCCCTTAACTGATCTTTCTTCTGTACCCAAGGCCCAAGCCTTTCTAAGTGGGCTCTTTTAAGACTGATGTCAGGTACCACCTCTTCATGAAGACCATTTGTGACCCTATCTGCCCCCAACCCCACACATACAAGTAGACCAGTGAGTCTCCTGCTCAGCACCCCACACACCTCAGTATCAGTGTCTTTCACAGGCCTGCTGGTGACCTGGCACATAGTAGGCACTTAATAAATGATTTCTGAATAATTACAACACACAGCTTATGAACTTTTCAAAACATGAATATAAGAGAAAACATAAAAAAAATTCATCATGTGCATTTAAATAATAAGAATATATAAAGGACTCAGCCATAAAGATAAATCTGGGTCATTTGTAGGAAAATGGATGCACTTTAAATCCATAATACTAAGTGAAATAAGTCAGATGCAGAAGATTAAATATGACATGATTTCTCTTATGTGGAAAACCCAAAGTATAAATAATTTAAAGAGCAAAATAAAAGAGACATGATAAGAAACAGGGAGACAGACTTTGCAGAGATGGGAAGGGTTCTGGAGATGAGGAGAGACAGGATGGAGAGGAAAGGAAGGGGAAGTGAAAAGGATCAAGATGCAGTATGTGTACGTACCAGTTTCCCCATGGTCAGTGTGCTTCTTATGTATGTGTCACAAACATACACTAATAAAAAAGAATACATAAGGGAAAAAAGAATATGGAAAGGAAATTTTACATATACAAACAGAAAAAAAAGTTGGGTACAGTAGAGGAAGAACACTGACCACAGGGTATTTGTAATCCATGACATCTTCCAAATTGCTAAAAGCACAGTAATTAGGCTACAAGTAGCTCTCATCTCTAACCACTGAAGGTGTGAGGTCCATTTATTTTTAATAGTAGGGAGCATTTCGGAACAGGACATTGACACACACACACACTGAAGGCACTGTAATTTGAGCTTCTGAGATCTTAAACTAATTAAAGCTTTCATCATTGGAGCTCATCCTCAAACTTTGCAAAATTATTGCACTTAGAGGATGTGAGATTACAGTCCAATAAAACTTAGACAAGTTAACCTGAGATATTAGTTGGTTTACCTAATTGTTATTCTGTTACACCATAATCAGGGGTTGGTGGTAAACAATTCATATAGATTATTGTAATGATTAGCACAGTTAGGTTATACTTTCCTTTTCCCCTCCGGCTTAACTTATTCTCCAATATGCGTAGAAATGTCCCTGTCTGCAGTGCTCCTACTACAATGCATCTGTAAATGTCTACCACATACGCACAGAAGCACCAAATGGAAATCCCGTGCCTTCCGGCCCTCACTGACACCTCACACCCTCTGCTATAGTCCCAAAGCTCCTGGCCTCTTCAGTCTCTTTCTTTTCCCCTCCCCAGACAAGGATCCAAAGGCGTTGACAGCCAAAATGCACAGCATTCAGTGGGTCTCACTTTAAACGAATAATATAAAATTAAGAATTCAAAATTAGGTAAAATGAATGTTTGTTTAAAATGAGAAAAGGCTCAACCACTGAACAGTGAGAAATAAACACCACAAAATCTGGGGGAAAATAAACCCTGGGCACCCTACACTTTGATACCACTTCCACCAACTACTTTCTGGCCATGTATACTTAAAACTTACTTTTCCTCCAGTACTTATGTGCATCCAGCGTCAGTCACCACAGGCTGACACAACCTGTCAGGGCACCACCTCGAACCCCACACCTTCAGGTTAGGGCCCCCGTGGGCAATAGGAAGACTCAGGCAATGATGTCTTGTAATTACTCCACTGCATGTACCTATGCAAGACACATAAATACATCATTCTACTACATCCCCCTAGTCATATCCAAAAAGTATCTGTAGTTGCTCCAACTCCAGCATGAGGAAGATCGTCAGAGGAAACTTAAAATGGAAAAGTCATTGGGCTTGACCAGGCATGGTTAACATACCTTGCTTTTGCAAATGTTACCAAACAAATGAAAACATTTCTAGGGCCCCTCCACTAATCAGACATTCAAGATTTAACAGGGTCATGAGGTTCAAGGTCCTGGGCACTATTCCTTAGGAAGGAATGAACAAACTGTTGAGGGAAACAGGAAGAGGAGTCATACAGATGTCCTCTGCCTTCAAGTCTTAGGACCAAGAAGGATGAATGGAGTGGTTAGAGTTCTGAGGAAAGTTGGGACTTTGAACTCCAGCAAGTGGACTCCAGGTTGACGAATAAAATGCACTGAGTTCTTCATGTGCGTTACTGCACCTCATCCTCACTACCACCACAAGGAAAAGGAGAAAGAGATGGAGAAGGAAAAGAGGAGGAAATGAAGAGGAAGAGGAGGAGGAAGAGGCAGGGGGAAGGAGGAGAAAAAAAGCAGAAAAGGGAGTAAATGAAAGAGGAAAAGATAAGAGGAAGAAAAAAGAATAAAAGGTGGAATGGTGGGCAGCCAGGGAGATCAAAGATCAAAGAAAATGTTTCCTCTGCGCTCTTCTTCCCTGGGATGCAGCCATGTTTATCCTCAGTGTCATAATAAAATTAAGGCTTTTTTCAGACTATACAGTCATCCTCTGAATTTAGAAAGAGTGACAATCCTTTTGGCTCAGTTCTGCAAAATCCAAGTTGTTATGATCACACAATGAAAAAAGGAAAGAGAGAGAAAACAGCCTCCTAGAAGATTGATATCACTGTAAATAAATGCCCAGTGACCCCGCCATCTGGTTGCTGTCCACGTTTTCCAGAGGATGTAAGTCTTTCATCCAGGCTTAAATCGGATGCCAATCTCCACGTCAGAACAGATCTTCAAACTTTTTCACATAGTCCTAACATTTCCCAGCAAGAATGGAGTCCACTTGTCTTACTCTTTAATTTTCTTCCAATTAAAAAAATAGAAAATGGAAATATCACTTAATCAGGAAAGTACACGTGAAGAATGTTCAAAAAATTTGAAAAATTACAATTAACATATGGGTAGTTTGAAGTAGCATATCAAATTTCAGACAAGTTAAATTCTTTAGGGGAAATGAGTTTAATCAGCATCAGAAGCCAACTTCATCATGGAAGTGCTGGAAACTCCATTGTTTCACAGATTTGCAGGCTCATTCAACTTCTTCATTGTCAGGGACCTCTGGAGGACACTCAATAAATCTCCAAGACACGGGGTGAGATCACACCTAGCCCAAAATTCCAGATTAACCACCTACCCATAAACATTTCAGAAAAGATGTCACAGTCTGTCTCAGGAACATTCCAACAAGTTGTAGTCCACACTTCCAAGAAATCTTCTATTATTTCCAAAAATACTGTATTGCTCCACATCCTTTGTGAAAATAATAGATCAACACCTTTACCATCTCAACAAGAAAGAGAAGTGGGGAATTAAGGCATATTTTCCCTATCTGCAAGCCAATCGATCTATATTTTTTCAGTCCTTCAAACATGTATTTGTATGGCTGCTGCACATAACCAAGGAAATTCCTGGAACCCCCACTGTGGGCAAAGCATCTAACATCTCATTCTACAAAAGAATTGCCCAGCACTGGGCAGAATTAATTATTATTTCACAGTGCCTAGAAAGTTGAGAATCCAGCCAGGGATTTAGCTAAGTGGTACTGCCGCCTGCCTTGAAGGTGCAAGGTCCTGGTTTGATTCCTGGTACCAAAATAAATAAATAAATAAACAAACAAAAAAGAAAGTTGAGAGTCCAAATTTGTTCCCATTCCATAAAGCCTGTATGAGAATCAATAGTGATGCTCTACTGCATCATAAACTGGGAAGCTCTGAAACGGTAGCACACTTCTAAGGCAACTGACAAACACAGACTCAAGCCAAAGCATAGCATCAACCACAGAAGCAACAGTGAGAGTTTAAGTAGACTCAAAAGACAACCAGGGAGCCAGATTAAGTCCTCTTCTCTGAAGATAAAAGACAAGGCTAACATAGCTTGATGTTCCGTTAAGAAGCAATGATCAATCTCTGCTGCTTGTCTTTCCTTCCTTCCTTCCTCCTCGCTTCCCAAGTTTACCACCTCTCCGTCTGCCTCTCCTGGGCACATATCCTGCTCTTAACTGCCAATCTGGTAAACATTTCTGCTGATTTCAATACTGAAACATCTTAGAAATCCTCTTGAATCTCAAAGAAGGAAAAACTCAGAGCTGGAAGTCACCTGGTGGTTTTCCGCATTTCCACCACCAACAGGCTCTACAGGCTTTTTCAAGTCACATCACTCACTGACTTCTTCATCTATTACCTGAGCAGTTGGACAATATGGCTTTTCTGGCTTAAAAAAATTATCATGCCTCAATTTTGGAGGAACTGTGAGAACTGGTAGAGAGAGAAGTAGCTAGGAGGTGAGAAGTATGGCTTGGACTCATTAAATTAAATAACGTGGATGCTTTCCTAGCTCCCTCTTGATATGTAAGGCTTTGTATGTGTGGTTTCCTAGTCACTTTCCCATCACTGGGCCAATGCTATCTTTAGGCAACCTCTTATTGGCCAGAACTGGGTTGCCTGCTTTTTTTCCCCCAAATTAGTCATTGGCTGGGAATCAGGGAAAGGGAGGAGGTAGTGAACCTAAACCAATATTTTTGGCCCCTCCCACTAAGATCAACTCCCCCAGAGTACCATTTCCATTCTTGAAGGAGGGGTGGAGTGTTTGAGAGATATCATCATGTCCACCCAGAGAGTTAAGGGGTGACTGTGTGAAATGGTACAGCTGGTTCAGGAAACAGTGAGTATTCCAATTCTTCTGTGTTAACTGACTTGAGCAAAAAGAGATTTGGAAATTCAAGCATAAGAGTTCTTCCCAAGCCCAAGGCATTAGGTACTTAACATCTGGTTCTTACACATTTTTTTTAAAAAAGCTAAATAATAAGGAATGTAAGGTGCCAGGCACAGTGGCCCACACCTGTAACCTCAGCTACTTGGGAGGCTAAGACAAGAGGATTATAAGTCAGAGACCAATCTGAGCAACTTAATGAGACCCTGTCTCAAAATAAATAGACAGACAGATGATAGATAGATGGCTAGATAAATAGATATAGATAGATAGAGCTGGAGACGGAGCTCAGTGGTAAAGCATTGGCCTGGCAGGCATGAGGCACTGGGCTCTATAGCAGTATTACATCACCACCAGCAATAATAAAAGATGATGATTTCCATGATAAAGATAATGCATGCTTCAAAATTTCACAAAAAGAAGAAACAAGGCAACATAAACCCTCTGGACAACAGCTCATAGACGAGAAGAGCTTGGATGTGTGCTTGATGGATGCATAAGAAAAATCTGTGCAGAGTTTCTTTTTTGCTCTGACCACAGAGGAGACTGAACTCAAAGAACTTCAAACCATAACCTCTCGGGAAATATTCAGAGGGAATACATTTTTGATGTCTTCATTCTGAAGATGCTACACTTTCAGACTGCCCTAGAATACAGCAATGTTGGGTTGCTGCACATGTCCACGAAGTTTCCCACTGCTGAGTATTTCCAACCTGAGGCAGAAAGAGGATGTGGCTGAAACTAGCTGGAAAGGAGGCATGACAAGATCCCAGGACACATGTGCAGAACAATTCTCAGACCCCTGCACCTGGGTTTCTCAAGAGAACTGGAGCGGGCTTCTGATAGGACAACCTGGCCAGCATGGGAAATACATTTTTTTAAAAAGGGACAGTCGCCCTTAAGCACTCACCCCTTTCACCGTAGCCCACCCTATGCTGTAGAGTGTATCTTTATTATTTCCCCCCTTTCCTACTTTTACTTGGCCCAAGCTCACTCTCCAGAGCCTTTTTCTCCCTACCCTTCCATTTGTTCCTACCCTTAATAAATGTAAAACTTTGCCGCTGTTTGTACTTGTTTCATCCAATTCTTTGCTTGTGACAGAAAAAAACTAAAAAATCACCTGTAGGAGACTCCAGCACCCCAAAGCTCGATTACAGACCCTTTTCAAGTCCTGACACAATCACAGTGCACCTTGCTGTAGTACTTTTTCTCCGTTACCTGGTTATCCATAACCACATGCGATTTTTAAACTACCACTGATGGCTCTTCCCTCCTTTTACTGTCAGTGTGTTTAAGTCAATCATACCTCCAATTAGGGGAACTTGCATAAGGGAAATCCTACAGTGAAATGCCACATGTCTTAAATTCCAGGTAAGAAAGTGATCCTCACAGGTGACAATTTGGCAAGGAGATAACTGTTCTTCTCCCTGAAAGGCCCATCCCTTGAGTCCATTATCAATTCATTAGCCTGAAATCCTGGTGCTCCAAGGTTGAGGACACACATGCCAAGGGACAATGGCCCCACTATTAAAGGTAGCAAGTTTTCCCTTTGCCGATCCTACTTCTCTGAAAGCTCCCCAACCCTCAGGGGTGCATCTGGGGACTGGAGCAGCAAGGATATGGCTGAGTTCCTTACAGCTGCCTAGACACCAACCTCTGTGACCCTTTTTTTTTCACCAGAATAAGTGGAAAGCCATGTCTTGGGGAAGGGCGTTGTGTCTGGTATAAATAGCTCCCTTACTATTGCTGCCAGCTTTCTCTAACAAAATAGCTCTTCACTGCCACCATATTGATCACCTTTCTACTTGGACAGCATGCAGACATTAAGATTCTTCTTGCAATCAAGCTCCAAGATAATTCCATATTAGTGTCTACAGTCCCTGGGCCAGGGAGCAGACAGACTGAAGGGGTCCGAGTGCTGGTTCCTACTCTATCAGTGTGGAAGAGAAGCCTAGGGAAGATGATCTCTTTATACAAGGACCTCGCACCCTCATCTGACCCCTACAAAACCATCAGGAAGGCCAGAGGAGCCTACTGGCCACCTGTTCTGGAACTGTTCCTAAATGCCCAGTATATGGAAGAATTAATGGCAAGTGGAAAGATTTGAAATCACCTTTCATGAGCAAAGTAGATTCTGGAGAAGTAGGTACCGAAATCTGCAGATCTGTGTGGATGAATAAGCGCCTATGACTTCCAGGACAGGAATCTGATTTGTCTTAATCATCCGGTAGAACCCTTTGCTCTTGCCTCTCAACATCTGAAATCCAAGGAACTTGTGTCCTAGGAACGTGCTTATCTGCTGGAAACACTGATGTGTATATTGAGTAACTAGAAAACACTCCACCAGCACCCCCATGGTCACACAACACTCCTAACGCAAGAAGAGTGAAATTACTGTTTGATGAATGTAAGCTCCTGGATGTTTCCAGCATTTAGAAGTCCTGCCAGGTGTAA